ACACGAATCATAATCGAATATACCACAAAGCTATCTAGAGATACTGGAAAGACACGTCATCAGTCTACAGCTCTCAGGATCCTTTTTGATAATTGTTGAATCAGGGCCTTTTATTTCCTAAAGCTATTTAGTAATTCTATTTTAAAGGTACTCCAAATGTTTGTGTTTTTCTGTTCACGAAGCAGGACACACAGCAAATGTGTTCAGGCCACCCAGATGCTGCTTCCCAGGCAGGCCCAGCTGCTGGCTCTAAATCCAGACTAGCATCCCAGGTCAGCCAGCCCCTGCCCAGGCTCCAGCCCCGCTGGGAGGCAGCAGTGTCTGTCCAGCCCCTCCGGGCAGCTGGAGGGGGTCAGAGTAATTGTCACCTCCCCACCTTTAGGTGCCATTAGGTATGTTAATCTGCAAAGCCACCGTAATTGCTCAGCTAGAACTGAAAGCAAAGCCAGCCGGAGGTGTGCAGTCTTCAACGTCTCCGGTTAAATACTTCGGAGGAACCTTTAAGTACAGCACCTTCCTGAGTGTAGACATTGCTACAGACCACCTTTTAAAGTGTCAGCATTCTCCACAAAGCAAAATCTTGGTTAAGAATGAATTTCCTATAAAATCATAAAAATGATCCATTTTGGCTGTTTCTGGAATAGGCAGAATGCCTATGACCTAATATCCACCCCCCCAGCCCTGCAGCAGCATCGTGTGGGCAGAGCCAGGGCCCCCAGGGAGGTATTTTGTTCAAAGGGTGAGGGTTTCATCAGCCCCGCTGAGACAGGACACATCCTCTGCCGAGAGATCAGTGCCACCTACAGTAGCAAGCACAGAAGCTGCCAGGCTCAGAAAACCGAAGGAACACACTTCTGCACGCTGCAGTGAAGTCCTGTTTAGATCAAAACACTGCTTTTTAGTAACTCATTTATTTGTCCAGGACTGCATGGGCAAGGAAAATGGGAAAGGAGGCTTCTGGTCAAAGGCTGGCAGCTGTTGCTGTGTCTGCTGGTGATCTTTCTGAACTTCCACAAGTTATTGTTCTGTAGCTCAGCTTAGAAAACAGGTAATCAGTCCTAATCTTACAGTGCACTCGTGAATGTGAACTTTTCAGTCCTTCTTACACAGCTAGGAGATCCCCAGGTGAAAATCAAAAACACTGTTAAACCAAGGCAGGTGGGTTTTTGTGATATTTTTCTCTAAAGTTTTCTCCTTCTGGTCTGGGATGAAAATATCAATTCTCACCTAACAGCAGCAAGTTTCTGGTCCTTTATGTCACAGAAAGGAGCCAGAAAAAAAAAATTATTCCAGTTTAGCAATGGATGCTCCTCTTCGGCAATGCTGGATGGCCCAGAGCATTGCTTTTTGGCACTGGCACCCAGTGATCAGAAGACCAAAGGCATGTTAGAAAGCAGCACAGAAGGAAACTGTATGCTCTAATTCTGAGCTTGTCAGCCAGAAGCAATTTCTTATAAAACTTGAATATTTTGCCTGAGTAATGACCTGCCCTGTTCCCTGCTATTTTTTCTGTATTATATGTACTTAAATTTCTTTTCAGGGTATAAATGGATCTCTGTGAGGCAAGGAAAAGCCTTTCCTCAGGTTTGTGCCTGTTTTCACTAATTGTCAGTCAGTAACTCTGAAATGCAACAGAAAGATGATGCAATGCTCTAGATCTTCTAGATACTTGAAATAAAAGTATTTAAAAGGACACTTCAGAATTCTGTTAAGTCACACCACTTGCTTGTTGGGGAAGTGTTTGCATGGGAGCATGAACCTTCACTCTGGAAAGATGTTCACAGTTTTGGTGCATTTACAACCACAAACACACTTGAAATCCAAAGCTGCATTACTCCTTGGAAAAAGAAAGATGTGGGCAAGGTCCTGCAAACTCTGCATTGTCCTCTGGCCCTGGACTAGAAAGATTGCCTCTACTGAGGCACAGGGTAGACTTGGAAATGGCTGCGCCAGTGCAACTGAAGGAAGAGTGCAATTGCAGTGAGGGGAAATAACTTAGGCAAAAGTTGCTCCAGAACACATCATTAAACTGGCCCATTCGCTTTTCACCCGCGCTATCCTTACCATCCTACAGCGGAGCTCGAGTGTGTTGATACAGCGGAAGGCTCTCCTGACCCAAGCGGTGTACACATGTTGATGAGTGGCTGTAAGCACACTCAAGACTTGTCACCCACGTGGGACTGCTGCTGGGATGTAATATTCACAGCCAAAAGCTTCATTGTGCTGAGGTGACCTCCCAGGTACCCTCCATTCCAGTTGCCTAGTGAAACATACTTGGTAAACAAAAGTTTCCTTTCCACCCAGGGTCCATTTGTCCTGTCACAAACCCCATGAGATGCAATTTGCAGAGTCTTCACATCTCTCTTCTCTCCCTCCACCCCCTTTTTATTTTTTTTTTTTACATTTTCCAAGACTCCCCTATAGATTAAAACATCAGACATGTCAAGTGCTTTACTGCCACCAAACACCTACTTACCAGATCATTTCCTGCAGATAAATCACTGTTCATCATATAAACCAGATTACACTAATGATAAGCTGCAAAACGTTCATTACTTTTGGATCCCATATGCAGACAAACAAAGAACAGTTTAAATGTGCTTTAACAATTTAGCCCTCAAGTCCCATGATTTATGTGTTCAGAACACTTTGTCAAATGGATCCACAAGTGCTGGGTTTGTGTACGATGTTGCCACCCCTGCAAATACCCGCCTATCCTTTTCATAACTTCTTGGGATGCTCACTAAGCTTATCTTGTGGATGTGAATTTAGAAGCTGGGGATGCTCAGGTGAAAGGATACCAAAGACTTTTATTTAACCACATCAAATATGCGTGCAAATGGCTAAATAGCCTAAAAATCCATCTTTGGTGCAGAAACTGCACATGGTTTTGACTTGCCTAGACATCAGCTGCTGCATTAGAAATCAATTCTGAGCTTCCCAATTCCCACCCCTGTCCTCAGCAGGGCCAAGCCCCACCTCCAATGAACCAGGACCTGGGCAAAACAACAGAACTGTGTCCTGGCTGGCTGCTGAGGGTGGGGCAGGGCAGGATGGTGAGGGGGCCTGCAGCCCAGGCCCACAGCGACACCTGCCAGCACAGGGCTCCCACATCCCTGCACTGCGAAGGGGACACACACACATATACAAACTGTGGTGCAGTGAGCCTTCCAACGTCACTTCATAACAATGCATGCCTGAGAAGGGCACATTGGTAAGGGAAGGATAAACTGTCAGGTTAACCAGCATTTTGGAGCAGCCGCACCAACATAACTGATTTAACAGCTTGCCTGTAGAGTTTGTCAAGAACAAATCCATGAGATTAACACCCTCTCTCAATCCAAAACTTCCAAGCATAAACAAAACAGCTTCCAAGAGGAGAGGTTATAAGATTACAAAACTGACTGAAATATCAGATACAAACTGTTAGTATCAGAAACATTAAATACTACCTGAGTGAACTGAATTCCTAGCATTTGAAGCCCATTTCCTATCAGTATCACAATTCAAAACTTTGAGTCAAACTTTAAAACACATTAACAAATGGTGTAATGTCAGAACAGGAGAGATATAATTTTTAATTTTTCAAGCATCTCTACAAGAAAATCTGATAAGCAGATCATAAACATAATATTCTCCAGCATATGGTGGTAAAACCTGAGGCACCAAACTAAACACTTTTAAAAAACCTCTCAAACCAGAGAAGGGGCAGCTGCACCCACAGTCAGCAAGAGGCCCTTACCCCCTCACAGGATAACTCCCAGCACCGAGATTACAGACGCTGTTCTCTGATAAAGCACCACCACTGCGGGATATTTAAGTCCTTGGGAGATAATTCCATTGCTTTACCATTGAAAAAAAACAAAAACCAAACAAAACCAAAACCCACCCTAAATTCCCCATTCAGCTTCAGATGATCATTCTGTATCTTACTAACCTTCAGCAGCCTGGAAGTTTATCTTATTCTTTTTAATTTCTTAAGGATGTGATTCTCTTTTCTCTCACTCAGACACTCTTCCAGGGCAAAATACATAAATACCCTTATTTAACAACCCTAAAATAAATACTTGCACGCATGAATAATTTATATCATACTGACAACTGACACCCCACAGAAACTCACAGAACAGCATATTTATTTATACTGGCCTCATCCATATAAAAATGTTCTTCTTATATAAAGAAACTTCAGCTTTTAAGCCTGGATCATAAGTTCAATGTTTCTCATTTGACAGTTGTCAACTGTGCTAACTGGAATACACCTTACAGGAGATTCAATATAAAGCTAAGAAAGGACTGCTATTTTTCTTAAAATAGGTGATGACTGTGTCATACAACCATTTTCCAGAAAACATTCAGGTGATTTTTTTCCATATACAGTGAGTTTGTTCTACCTGTTGCATTAAGACTTGTCATAACTATCTGTGAAGTTTAGCAAAATATAGCAGTTTGAATCCTTTAATATCAAACACATAACTAACTCGCTATCTAGTCTTAATCGGACTTCCTCAATATGAAGTTTAGCAAAATATAGCAGTTTGAATCCTTTAATATCAAACACATAACTAACTCGCTATCTAGTGACTTACCCTGTCTTAATCGGACTTCCTCAAGAATAGAAACAAAAGACTATCCAGGGATGCCAAAGAATTCTACATGGCAGTACATAATGACAACAGAATAAGAAAAATTTAAAGGTACACAGAAACAAAATGATGCTTTAAAAAGAATCACTTCTTTTTCCCTTTAGAAGGCTTTGCAAATAAGGCAGGATCAATCTGGTCTCTAGACAGACCTCTCACTGAAAAAAGCCTTGCTGCTCTTTCCTTTAAAGTGCCTCCACATTTCAGTCCTAAAGACATCAATTGCATCTTCAGTTTATCTAAACCCAGGGCTTCCATTTCAGCAGCAGAGTTGAATGCCAGTAGATCTATTGGTTCTATCTCCTGCAAAGAGAAAAACATCCCATCAGACTCTTATTATTTTCTTCCTGATTAGGGAAGGATAAACAAATATAGACAGAATGCTTCCTCTTGCAGAAGACCTTCAATTAGGATTATCTCAAAGTCCTAAAGCGGAGCAATGTCTCCACAAATACTATGTTGGATATTCTAGTTATTAGTGGTACCTATGCTACCCAGGCAAAGTATTAATGCATCATGTATAAGCAAACTGATGCTATTACTCTTATGGTACATACCATGCTAGAGTTATCAAAGGCACTTCAGAGCAAGTTAATACCAGCAGTGGGAATGAGACTGCTCCGTTAGGAAATCAGCAAAAACAATTAACACTGGCAGAATTAGAACCTTTATCCTGCTAAGTATACAAAAAAAGACCGGTTGCCTCATTATTCTCATCCTACTTTAAAAAAAAAAATCCATCAAGGACTATTATAAAAATATTTCCACCTGCAATAACAATCTGCCACAGCATTGGTGGAGTTTCCTGTTCTAGGAATAGACAGTCTCACAAATACTGACCAAAAGGTAAACAGTGAAGAATGGTAAACATCCTGTTTAAAATTTGCCAGCCCTAATAGTACAGTAGATGACAAAGTTCTAATTTACCAGATTACATCCTTGGTCTTTTTTCCATTTAACTGGATTAAACTTTCACTTATCAGAATTCAGTCACTGACAGTTGCCACTGACGGCAGACTTTCTGCTCAAGCTGAAACGAGGCAGAAGAAACCAAGGAACTCCCTAGCCCCCAAAAATGCACCACATTTTGTTTTACTGCTAGAATAAGCCTAGATTCATTACTCCCAAAAATTTTTTAATAGCAATATTATGCAAGCAGGAACGAAGCACAAGTATTGGCAGCTTTCACTGCCAAATATTAGTTGGGCTTTGGGAAAAGCTACATTCTCTCCTGACTGGAAGACTGATCCAAAGCCTCTTCAGCAAAAGAATCCCAGCCATCCTCTTGTCAATCACCAGAGAAGGAACCTCATGGTCAGCACTGCTCCTGATCTCACTGAGGGCTGTGACAACCCAGATTGCCAGCAGAGGTAATAGTATGGTAACAGTACAGACCCACTTCCACCATGGATATACCAGATGATCAACTTTAAAATCACTCTTCCACTATCCTTTGCAGCTCAGGTGCAAGCCCATCATTTATACTAATCCTGTCTCTCTAGTGAAGGAGCTGCTGCTTTCAGACTTTTGATGGTCAATGAAGAGCAGAGGCGTGCACCAGACTACTAGACTTCTCTGTGAACTAGACTCAAGTCTTTTTACAATAAAAACTAATAAAGACCGATCCGCAGATTGGTTTAGAGGGCGACTACCTGCAACAACTTTGAAGTTAAATATTAAGGCTAATTGTAAAAAACTAAGGTCAAATTATGTTATAAATAGGATTAGTTGAATTGGACAGTGTTTGGTAATGTGTCAAAAAGTATGAGTCTTTCATCCTAGAGAAGAGTTTTATTTTCCTTTTTCCACCCCTCAATAAAGAATTTTGGATCCAGAGTGTATCTATTTATGTAAGAGAAAAAAAAAAAAACAAACAACAAAAAACCCCAAGGGAAACATGGATCTCAGGAAAGACAATACTACACAGCCAAAGGCAACTGCATCTTAGTAGCAACTTAAGACTATCAAAATCTTAATCTTATAAAGTTCTTCCTTGGCCCATTCTACTTAGCATCTCTCAAGACAATGCCACCATACCACAATTCAACTCTCTCCATGGAGACACAGTCAACCAAGAGCCTTCTTTGGCTGCAGTTTCCGTTAACTTGCTACATTCTATTTTCCTAAATCGTAAGATACATGTTCAGTTAAGCTGTTTTTCCTTTTAAACTTGGGATTTTTTTGTGGTCTGAATCAAACTCTGAAGATTCTATTAGCTTCTTACGGAGATTATGATTCAAATTCAAACACTTATATCTAATGCATTGAGTCATAGGATACAAATCCCCTCCCCTTTTCTGTGATCTACAAGGGGAAAAGTGATTGAGTGAAGCTGAAGATGTATCACATTTTGTACTGCTTTGTACTTACTGTGCTCTGTAACTGGTTCATTTCCTGTGCCTTAGAAGAAACATTTTTTTGCTGCTCTTCTTTCAGAGCTTGGGTTGCTTCATTCTTTTCTTGGGCCTCTTCCTGCAGGGGCTTTGTCATTTTACTACTTTCCTCAGATGGAATTTCAGTCTGCCCATCTGTGTGCGTCTCTCTTTGCAGATCTCTTCCAGTACCTTCTGGCTGCTCCAGTGGTTTCTCAGTTGCACTGGCAGCTGGACTATCCCCTACTGAATCCACAGAGCTGCCTGAACATTCATTTGAATTTCCAGCGTTTTCACTATATCTGCTGCCTGATGGACAACTTCCGTCAGATGCACGAGGGGAGTCATCTTCACTGTCATCCTCACAATCCGAACTGTCACTGTCATCCAATCCTTCCAATCCCAACCTAGCACAATCAGTATGTTACTAAGGAATATTCATCTATTTTCACAATTATTTTTATTGTCACTTTTGTCTTTCCAAAACTCACTTCAGAGAGCTGCGCTGAACTACTCTAGCAGCTATTTAGTATAGTTTAGTAAATGGAAGAGCTCCCAATATTGAACAGGACCCAACATCCCCCCAAAATATTTATCTTTTTACAGCATTCCCAATACAGAAAGGTGTGCTGCCTATTGCTCCTCCAGACACCACTGGAATCATTAAGGCTTCAGTTTCATGTTACATTAGGTGAATAATGCCAAGGGGGAAAAAAAAAATATTTAAGTTCATTGTAAATTTAGTTCATTAATAAAAAAGAGGACAGTGAGAGGTAGTAGAATATAAACATATTAGAGGTGGGGGGAAAGGATGTCTAGTTTTGCAAATAAAGTTTGTCTGCTGCAGCAGGGAACAGAATTATATGAATGCAGCAACATTTACTTTCAGTTCTCTGATTTAATCAGTTTGATTTACTTATTCCTATTTAAGTCTACATCTCAGATAAGATGCTGCATACTTGTATATACCTAACCTTTTACCCTGTTCAAGGCTTAATACTGGAGTATAAAAACAAGGCATAATGCTTACCAAAAACATTTTCTTTTTCGAGGTTTTGTTCCATTCGTTGCAGATTCACCTGGACGCTTCCGACTATTGCCACTTTCTGGTGACACCATTTTGCTTGAAGTAGCCTGCAATCCTTCAAAACAAAGTTAAAAGTCTACTTCATGAGTACACAATTCATATACTATGTTAATTCTACTTATCATTTAATTTCAGATAAATTGAAAACACTAACTGAAAATAATCACTATCGGTACACATTTACGTAGACTCAAAGCTTCAAAATAAACTCAGTAGCAGCAAAAGCTTTCCTACGTGGCTTTACAAAGGTACAGAGTCAATAAAATTGGATTCCTGAACTGAACTCTCAAGTTCGACATCCCATTTAGCTTCGAGTTTCACTATCAAGCTGCCAGCAAGGGAATGAATAAATAAACAGATAAATAAAATAACTACAAAGAACAGTAAGTAAAACAAGGTATTTTGTAGTTGGATTAAATTTCTAGTTTTACTGTTTACATATTTTATCATTTCACTGAAAATTACTATGTAATTCTTACAGCTTAACTAGCAACACTACCTTCACAGAATTTTGCTTTTACTATGAGATGACTCTGCAGCACAGCAAGATGAAGCATCCCTTGTATCTGTGTTATGCTGTTCAATGCAATTTAAGAAAGGCAACAGCCAAAGAGGAAAAATTAGGTCCAACAGATTTTATTGAAATTTAAAATTTAATTCAATTGAAAGAGCTACTGTCAGAAATTTAAAAAAAAAAAAATTCATGTTGGAGTGAGGCTATAGGGACTTGTAGTTTATTTTTTGAGGAGAGAAAGTGAGCTTAAACTGCAGTACCTTTAAGGACTGAATCTTCTAGTCGCTCAGCCATTTCATGACACTGCTGCTGGTAGTCTGGATTTGTGAAAAAGTGCTTTGGCTCTGCAAGTTTCCGCTGCAGCCTTTCCAAGCGCCTTTGCTCTTTTTCTGCTTCCCGTTCTGCTTGCTGCTTCACCCATTCAGCCATCCTGCAGATGACAGAACCAAGAAGACTAGAGTGTTTCCAGCATTTAATGTAATATCAGTTTGTTGCTTTGCAATTACCGGATGCTTCTACCACCTGCTAGCATGGGAGACAATGGGAAAAGACAACTAACAACACCCAGGGGAATTACTGAAGGAATATAGAGATTCTGCTACAGTGAAGAGAGGAAAGTTTATTTCAGAAGCCAGAAACAGCAGTAAGGTCACACATCCCCAATATCATGGTTCTGCAGCTTCAGAGAAAAGAACTGTAAGATTTCCAGATGAGAAAAGCAAGAGGTGCAGAACAGTCTCTCAGAAGCGGGCTGCAGTACAATCACATCTATTTTGCAGTAATATAATTACAGTCAGAAGAATCCTGTTAGCTTCCAGTCTATCTGTGCTTAAGATTCCACTTTTGCTCTTTTTAGTATTCAAAATAATATTTCATTGCTAGAACAGCCTGCCATTTGACCTCTTTTGTTAACAGTGAGCTGCACGGTCAGACTATTTTATCATTCTAGATTCTAAGAAAAGGCCTTACGCTTTTTCATGATTGACATCTCGAAGTCTCCTTCCACTGAGATCTCGGCAAGCCTCTCTATTTGTTGTCTTTTCAATCTGAGCACCGAGTGCTCGTAGCATTGATCCAAACCCTGAGAAAAAAGTAATCAAGAATTAGCTAAACACATACACAAATGGAGATGAGCTAGTACAAAACAAAATAATTAATTATGGAAGAAGAATACAGTGAATTTAACACTTTCCCTCAGAGCAACTGAAATAAAGGGTAAATTGAAAGTTGCAACATGTTTGAGAACTGTCATTGGGTGAAATGCTGAAACATTAAGTGAAAAAAGGCATCCAGCATTTACCACTCATCTTGGTTTTGTGCTCCTGATATCACACCAGATGGACTCCAGATTTACTAGAACCTGTGCAGCACTTCTAACATGAAAGCCTATTTCTGGACTCCCACAGCAAAATAATTTGAAACCTTTTTAATCTCAAGATAACTTTTTGTGTCCTTTGTAATTTAACCAGGATATACCTCCCCCTTAAGCCCCTTTAGCACCCACCAATATGAAATGCCCTTTAAAAAAATCTAACAAAAAATAAAACCACTTTTTTAGGAGATAGCCTTAGCCACTTCATCAAGATGATCATGATGTACAATACTATGCTGGATAGCCCCACAAAATTGATTTCTATACAATCCTCAGCCTCTAATTACTCAAAGGCAAGACTGCTAATGTCTCAATTCCACTTTATGTTGTCTCCAGATGGAGAAAGACACTTGTTCAGCTACCTCAAAGATACATAATGTGGATTAATATTAATATAATCCTTTGACCAATTTCAAAGTGCCAGGCACTGTTTTTTAAATAGAAGTTTATAAATAACAAATTTTTACTTTTCAGTGCCCCAAAAGTATCTTTAAGGAGTGTTTCAAACAGTAACCAATCCAGACAGCCTACTGCATCATGGGGCAGAAACAGTTCTGTGTTCAGCTAATAAAACCAATTGCTACCATCGGCGAGGAGATTTTCTGTAGCTCAAGAAACATGCTACTGAATTTTACATTCTGAAGAATGCGGACCTAGCTGCTACACAGAGCCAGGCACGCTCCCAAAAATCAACAGCAATGCATTCACTCAGGTCGCAGGTGCTGATTAGATACTGATTAGGATTAGGTCTGATAATAAAATGCTCAGTTCTCTTCTAAGCCTGCATGATCTATATTCCCTTGAGATCATACAGTAAGTCTCAATAGTTCTGACCTGTGTTTGTTTGCCCGTTTTTTTCAGTCTTTTATGTTACACAGTCAAAACAAAAAGAACACTTTAGAAAGCAGACAAAATTATTAAAGAACAATTTTAAACGGACCCCAATGGCACATCAGTAACACAGAGGGAATCACAGAACACATATCCTGTGTCATCCCAGGATAAATGAAGCTGACAGGAAATAGGTGAGGAAGAAGCATCCTATACTACGACCTTATACCACATGCACCACTTCTAGGGCACTTAAAGAAATCACAATACCCAATAAGCTACAGCAACAATATTTACTTCCAGTTCTACCTAAAACTGAAGAAGGCAAAGTAACCTGAGCTGTGGTCTGATGCAAGGGTGCACAATTATTCAGAATTTTAGCTCAACAGCCGGAAAATTCTGCAAACTGGATTTGAAAAGCAAACATACTGATTCCAATTACACTCAAATTCTCTGCTAAACTTGCTTCACCCATCATGTTCCACTTTAGAGAATGCCCACATTGTCAGTGGCTACACCATTTTAAATGATTAATATATATCTTCCATAACACCATTAAAATATTTTGTCAACATAAGGAGTCTAGTTTAGACTGAAATCCTTAGTTCTCTGTCTACTAAGATCTTGGCTTTTTTTTTTTCAAATAAGATAAAACAAAATAAATTAGGTCACATATAACACACTCAAATCACAGGCTGTTTGTACCTGGAATATTTGCCCTAAATGACCATGAGGGAAACTTAGGAGCCTAAGAAGCCAGGTGCTTTTAAATACTATTTCAACTCTGAAGTCACTTTGATGCACATTACAGAGTTCTACTAGTAGAGCTAAGCTGACCAGTGATGCAAAGAAGAGCTATGCCAGCAAGGCTGTTAGCTGAACTGCAGCTTCCCTGGTCAGTGCTCACCTTTGCAAGCAGACTTTGGTTTCAGCTCAGAGATATTATATCACAGTCATCCACATCACAATATATTACTATTATATATTATCATTGACCGCTCTCAATACAGACTATAACAAAAGTTTTTAAACCTAAGAATCTAATCAATAACAAACCTCCTTTTCCACCACAAAGCCTTGGTTCCAGACTATAAACAGCTCCATTCTGCAGTACATCTTCATCATTAACCAGTCGCCCGTTACATTTCACATACAAGCTTTCTTCAGGAATACTCTAAAAACAGCAAAATAGAATCATATAACTGATTGAAAGTGAAACATTCTGACAAAGTAAATCATTAAGAAGTAATGTTTCCTTCCTTCCTATAGGTACAGAAGGGAAGCAAAAATCATGCGATTTTAAAAGCATAAACGTTCTCTGTGGTGCTTGTTTTAATTTCTGTTTACTGAAGGATTAAACACAGTCTAAATCAGCATCAGAATGGGGAAAAGCCACGCTATAAGAAAATTTACATTAAGTGTTCAAACACCCTATATTAAAATTAAAAAAAAAAACAACGTATTTTTGGACTGTAAGGAATTTATGACTGATATCTTCCACGTATGTATAAATTACATATAACGAGACTAGAGGACTCTCTCACAGCAACCCCCCCTGCTCAGCAAAGAGACCGCACCGACAAGACCCGTGCCGATAGCTGCCAATCGCGACAGCTCGTCACTCAGAGGCACGCCTCACGGGGAAAGGGCGAGGGCAGACATAAGGCCTGCGAAG